AGGACCTTCCCAGAGCAGGTGGTGGTGGCCAAAGCACCCCTGAGCAATGGAGCTAACCCCTGAGTCAGGACCTGGGTTCTTCTCCTGCCCAGTATGAGTCTGAGGCTGTGGGCTTCATTTGTAGGGCTCAGTTCTAACCCTATCACATAGGGCGGTAAGGATGGGTGCTTCCCTGCCTGGGAGGGAAGACTCAGCCAGGTCCCCCAATCCACTCTTCCCCAAATAGCCAAACAGCAAACACTTATGGACACTAAATAATTTATTAGGTCCAAGGAAGAAGGTAGTATTTTGCCCATTTCACTGATGAGGAAACTGAGGTACAGAGAAATTTCTCACAGGGCTCAAACTCAGGCATTTGGCCTGAAATGACAGGTGATACAGGTGGTCAGTGACTTAATGTATATTGAGTGCTTGCTGGATCCTCACAGCAATCCTGATCTGTGTCCCTGCCCACAGTGACTCTGCTGGCCTGGGCATGGCAGACCCAGTGGCAAGCATTGCAGGCTCGGCAGCCAAGAGTGTGAGGCCGTTCCGCTCGAGTGAGGCCTATGTGGAAGCCATGAAGGAGGACCTGGCCGAGTGGCTCAATGCCTTGTACGGCCTAGGTCTGCCCGGTGGTGGTGATGGCTTCCTGATGGGGCTGGCCACAGGCACCACTCTGTGCCAACATGCCAACGCTGTCACTGAGGCTGCCCGCACTTTGGCTGCTGCCCGTCCTGCCCGAGGTGTGGCCTTCCAGGCTCACAGCGTGGTGCCCGGCTCCTTCATGGCCCGAGACAACGTGGCCACCTTCATCGGCTGGTGCCGAATGGAACTGGGTGTGCCCGAAGTGCTCATGTTTGAAACTGAGGACTTGGTGCTTCGGAAGAACGAGAAAAGCGTGGTGCTCTGCCTACTGGAGGTGGCGCGGCGTGGGGCACGCCTCGGCTTGCTCGCCCCTCGCCTTGTGCAGTTTGAACAGGAGATTGAGCAGGAGCTGCGCGCTGCACCCTCGGCCCCCAATGCCCCCGCTGCTGAGGACACAACCGGAACTGCTGCTGTACCAGGGGTTCCCACCCGCGGGCCCCGCATGACGCCCATGGACCTACGCAACCTTGACGAGCTGGTGAGTCTGGTCCTGCTATGCTCTTACCCTGCACTGTACCAGGGACCAGACAGCAGAGTCAGTGCCCACAACTGGTCCCTGAACCTCTGTAGGACAGCCTATCCCATGGAAAGGGTGCATATGTTGAACACCAAGTGTATACCTGGCCCCAAGGAGATGAGCAGGCCTACAGAGGGAGAGGTGTTGATGGGGTCACAAGACCCAGCTGGCCTGGGATAAAACCTGAGCCCCATTCACCAGATAAGTGCTGTGTATTCCTTCATCCAGGGGCCACATGATTTGAGCCCCTCCTGTGTGCCCTCACTCGAGTGCTAGGCAGTTGCATGCATGTTGCTCAAGGTTAAGTGTGTGCCTGTGACACTTGGCCCTGGACAAGGTGCCTGGCACACAGTAGGTACTCAGTGATGCCTAGATAAGCCCCCAGGGGCTCCACAGGCCACTTCCACTCCTCAAGGCTCTGTGCACCTCATTTATCTGGGAAACCAAGCCCAGAGCTGCTGCTGGGAGTTGCAGAATTAGTTCTACTTTGAGCATAGGAGGTGCCAGACCATGCCCCCAGCGCCCTCCTCCTCCCAGGCCCTGGGTGTCCCTGACGCCCCCACAGCCAGGCCAAAAGTTTCCTTCTTATCAAGGGGTTGGGGCTATGATGTGCCACTCCTGGAGGGCAATAGCCGGATGGCGTGGGCAGAGGCTGCCACCCCACCCGTCCTGGGCCAGGGTCACCCGAGGCTCCACCTGCTCATTTCCTCCAGCTACGCAGTGGGCAGGGAGGCAGGCGGTGCCGCCCACATAGCCAGCCTGGCAGCTCCAAGCCTGGAGGGATATGTGGGCAGATGTACACTCACTGGGTGGGTGGCCTGTATATGCATGTTGGTGTGTCTGTGGCACCCCTGCACTGGTATGAGTCCCCAGCACTTAAGTCCTATGACCTGCCTCCTCCCAGGACCTAGCCTTTCTCTGGGCCTCAGTCTTCAAGTCTGTAAAGTGGGTAAAGGGGGAGTGAGGATGGCTCCAGGACTCCCCCAGGCTTTGGGGCTTTGGAGATGTGCCTCATTGGGGCCCAAGGTTCTGGCCTGACCACAGCCCCACCATCTGGTTATCTCCTTGGCCCCTAATAGCCGAAGGGGAAGGAGAGCTGGTGAAAGGTCAAGTGTAGAGGCTGTACCAAGTCCAGGGCAACACAGTCCATGCTCCTGTTCCCCAGAAGGACTTACTTCCTCCTGACCCTGGAGTGGCTAACATCAGGCTCCAGGAGGGACTTAACCCCTGACCTCCAGCCTTTCCTCTCTGGCCTCAGGTGAGGGAGATCCTGGGCCACTGCACCTGCCCAGACCAATTTCCCATGATCAAGGTCTCGGAGGGGAAGTATCGCGTGGGAGACTCCAGCCTGCTCATCTTTGTGCGGGTAAGAGTGAGGGGCTACCAGAAGGCCGCAGCCCATGGGATGGGCTTTGAGGCCCATGGGACGGGCTGTGACCTGCCCTCTGGGGGCTTCCACAGGTGCTGAGGAGCCACGTGATGGTTCGTGTGGGTGGTGGCTGGGACACCCTGGAGCACTACCTGGACAAGCATGACCCTTGCCGCTGTTCTTCCACAGGTCAGTGCCCTCTGCGAGGACAGGCAGACAGGGGGCTCATCTCTGTGGCTCCACCCCTCATATGCTACCTGTCTTCTCTCCCTGTAGCTCACCGCCCACCCCAGCTGAAGACGGGAACATTCTCCCCTCAGAGGGTGTCACCCACCCCCAGCCCCCGACCTGGCAGCCCAGCCCCAGGGGGTGAGCGTCGAGGCTCCCGGCCAGAGGTGACACCCATTAGCTTACGAAGCTCAAAAGAGGGTCCTGAGACCCCGCTCAGGTGAGAGGCAGGAGGACATGGAGGTGAGAGGTCTAGAAGGTGGGGGTGGGGGCCTGAGCCCTGGCCTGGATGATGAAGGAGCCTGTGCTCTGGAGTGACTCACACCCTGGGAATAGTTCCCGTGGGTGGGGGCAGGCCTAGCTTCCCATCTCCATGGCAACCCAACCAAACTAACAACACAGCTGGGGCGGGCCGTGGCTGGGTGGCAGCCAGTTCAACCAACCCTGCTTCCCTCTGGCCTGCCCAGGAAACAGGAGGGCTGGAGCTTAGGGTCCCGGAGGCCTAGCTTCTTCCGCAGCCTTGGGGTAGGGGTGGGGGTAGGGGCCCTGGCTACAGGAAGCTGCTGCAGAGCCTCTCACTTCTCCCTGGAAGTCCCCAGGACCGACACAAGCTCTTGACAACTCCCACCAAAACCCCCCACAGCACCACAGGTGTCTTCCCCACCCCCTACCAACCACAAATCTGCTGCTTCCTTCCTCTCCCTGCCCTTTCTGCATGCCAATCCTCTTTCCATGATGCCCCATCTCTCTTGTTCCCCTGCCCCAGGGCCCGGGATCAACTGCCCCCTCATCCCCGATCTCGACGATACTCTGGGGACAGCGACTCTTCAGCCTCCTCAGCCCAGAGCGGCCCCCTTGGTGCCCGAAGTGATGACTCAGGCACTGGCCCCCAGAGGGAGCGGCCCAGCAGGCGGCTGACCACAGGCACCCCAGCCTCTACTAGACGGCCCCCTGCCCCTCGAAGCCAGTCCCGAGACCAGCTAGATCGGGGGCGGTCCCGGGAGGCCCCAGGAGGTAGGGGAGCCCAGCTGTCAACCCCCAGCCCTGCCCGGCGGGCCCGGAGCCAGAGCCGTGAGCAGCAGGCTGTGTTGCTTGTGCGTAGGGACCGAGACGGGCAACACTCTTGGGTGCCACGGGGTAGGGTCAGTGGGGGCTCTGGCAGGAGCAGCCCACATACTCCCCGTGCCTGCAGCCCTGCAGCCCCCCGGCCTCCCCAGGTCTCCAGCCCCAGTCCAGAGTTGGGCACCACACCTGCCAGTGTCTTCCGCACCCCCCTGCAGCTTGATCCACAGCATGAGCAGCAGTTGTTCCAGCGCCTGGAAGAGGAGTTCCTGGCCAACGCCCGAGCCCTTGAGGCTACTGCTGGTGGAACCCCCACTGGACCAGCCCCTGACCTGGCTCGGGCCCCAGACCCTCCAGCTCCTGACTCAGCCTACTGTTCCTCCAGCTCCTCCTCTTCATCCCTCAGTGTACTGGGTGGCAAGTGTGGCCAACCAGGAGACTCTGGCCGGATGGCCAATGGGCTGCCCGGGTGCCGAGGTCTAGCTCTGTCCAGCTCTTCCGATGAAGGCAGCCCCTGCCCTGGTGTGGTAGGGCAGCCAGATGCATCTGGGAGTCACCTGGCAGGCCCTGAGCCCCCGAGGACCTGGGCACGGGGCCGGATGGACACACAGCCAGACCGAAAACCCTCACGAATTCCGACACCTAGGGGCCCCCGCCGCTCATCTGAACCCACAGTGCCTGGAGCCTGGCATGCCCTGCACTCAGTCAGCCCAAGGGCGGAGCCGGATTCCTGGATGTGATGGACCAGCCCAGCTGCCTCCAGGCCCCCATTTCTCCTTTTCCTTTGTGGCCTTAACCCCTCCGCATCAGGGAACACCCCCCACTCCTGCACCTCTCGGGTACCAGACCTCATGGGACCAGACCCCTTACATGGCACAATGGGAACCTCTGTTGTACATTCCAGTTGGGGGATGAGCATTGCTATTTAATTACTAATATTATTGAATGCCTTAGAGGATCCTGCGCCAGGCCAATAAGGACCCTTCCTGAGGACCTGTGGCCCTGCAGAGCCTGACAGTAAAGTTTTGTTCCAGCCACTTGTGTCTGCTTCTTGGGGACTCATTCTTGGGGACATCACACCCTTTTGGGAGCCCTCATTACATGTTGGGATTCTGGAGCTAACTCAGGGGCAAAGCCTGGCAACTCCAGTTTATAGATATAAGACTACCCTTCCCATCCCAGAAATGCCAGGTGCGCTTGAATTGTTCCCCTTTTATTAGCTCCGGAAAGGTGTGACTTAAGTCTTTGTCCAATGAGGCTCCAAGAGCAGTGTGAGAGCTTCCAATCAGATTCATGGTCCAGTCCCTTCCATCCAACGGGATCGTGGCTCCGTGATGTCCCAGAAAGGATTTTGTCCATGGGCCTTGGGGCCTGTCTGGGTCCAATGAGATTCAAAGAGAGGCCTGTCGCCCAGGAGCTGGGTGGGAGCTTTCCTCATCCAATCAGGGATGAGACTGTCCTGTCCAATCCGAAAGGAGTTGGGCAAGCTTGTCCAATCCAGGTCCCCGGTTCCAGTTAAACTGTCTTGTTCCCTTATCAGCCTCCGGGTCCAATTTAGTCACATGAGGCTGCAGCGAGCGGGATGCAACGCCCCCTGCAGGCGCAGGGCTGGGTGAGCAGGCCGCGCGCGCACCAGAGCGCAATGTAGCAGTTCGCGGAAGAGACGCAGCACGTGCCAATTGTACTTAGCTGAGCACTCGAGGTAGCCGCAGCGCCAGCCCCTGCGCACTAGGGTGGCTAGTGCCCGCCGAGGCCCAAAGCGCAGCCGTTGCCGGTCCCGCTTGTTGCCTACCACGAGGATGGGCGCCTCGGGTGCGCCTGCCGGCCTGGGGGCCAGATAGTAATGAGGGCGGCGGTGCCAGGGACCCCCACGCTGGGAATATACACTCAGGAGCATCCTCTCCTGTGGCCAGAGTCCCCCAGCAAACACCAGACTCGTATGGGCCAAAGACCCTTCCATGGACAAAGGCTTGGCCCAGCAGGCCAGAGACCCGACGACGAAGACGGCCAAAGAGCGCACCCACTCCCTTCGGGTAAAGGCCAGGCCAGACTGGCAAAAGCTCGCCTCCTC